TTTATTAGTTTATTAACTGCATATATATTTTTACTTTTTAAAAAAGATTTATTTATTTATTTATACAAGAACCGGGGTACAAGCCAGATTCACCAGAGACAGAGAGGGGAACAGAACAGGCAGACTGATGAAATACACTGCTGAGGGGAGCAGCAGGCACGACAGGAGAGGTCTTCTGCGCCATGTGGGACTCTCACCTGCTGGATTGAACTGGTGCTGCAGAGGCTGTGGACAGCTTTACAGCGCAGCGCTCAACCACCTGCGCCACCAGGGGAGGCCCTATATTTTTACTTTTTAAAGAACAGTAATTCAAAGAAAAACTGCTCACAACAGATTTCCCTTAATAGTGAACATTTTTGCATATGAAACAATAACAGCAAATTTTTATATAAGCATTGATTTCATTGAGCAACAAATATCCAAATATCAGATACCTCTTTAAATGAATAATTCGTTTTTTATTGAAGGAATAAAATTGGGATAGTTTCAAATAGTATATTATTCAACACAGCACTCACATCTGGTTTTAAGTATTTGTTCCCTATTGTCTATAGTTTATGATAGGTTTTATTTTCCTCCCATCTATTATATTCACAAGAGAGCAATTTTACTCCCCATAGTTTAAATAGGCCACAATCTTATATGATTTTTTATAAACCAAAATTTTTAAATAAAATTTATATCTAGATCTCAGAAGCAACTATTACAGTTATTAAAATGTGACAATTTTCTTGAAGTTGCTATTAAATGTGTTCATTCTTGAAACATACATTATCACTAGGTAAAATTAATTGCTTCAGGCTATGTTCAACTAAATAAATTTCTGATAATATAATGAAAGCAGAGAAATATGTTGCAGCACTTTTAATCTCAAAGAGTTAAATAAAAACACATTTTGTTGTTTTAAGTGTAAAATAATTCCGAGGTTACTCCTTCATGCTCTATAAATCTATTTTTTTATTTCTAAAGAAAAAGAAAGTGCTACGGTATAATTTCAGCCTGAGTAATTAACAAAAAATACATCTAATGAATATGTTTTTACTTACAACTAGAAGACCACTCATTTTTTCCTAGTTATTACTACTCAAAAATTATTTAATTTTCCCATTGATGAAGCTAATAGGTAAATGACCATATGTGGTTTCCTTCTAACTGCTATGCATTATTACCACAGATTATATAATACAGAATTATATATTATAAATTATTAAATAAAAATTAGCAGACCTCTTTTCAAAGTAACTCAACCCAGATAATAGCTAACTTTGGTTCCCATTTCTCTCTATTTATAGATGAGAAAGAGAATAATCATTACCTAGAATAATACAACAGAAAAATAAGATTATTCATATGAGGAATTCTCAAAACTACTAATCAAATAGTCACATTTAATGCTCAAAGGCACTTGCCTACAAAGTGACATCTATTAAAATGTCAACCCAGGGAGTAACACATTATGGGATCTTTTAGAATATCTATATACAATATTAATCTCTAAACCATTTATGAAAATAATGTGGAAAAATTACATAATCTACATGCTCATTTGTTGCTATAGATGCATTGTTTTTATATTGCATTCCCATTATTTGGTAATGAAATTGAAATAAAAATTTACACCGAATTTTCTATCAAGAAAATATATGAACATAGGTGTGCAGGTGCCCTTCGTAATTACTGTTTCTGTGTCATTTGGGTAAATACCTAGGAGTGGAATTGCTGGATCATATGGAAGCTCTATGTTTAGTAGTTCAAGAAATCTCCACACAGCTCTCCATAGTGGTTGGACCAGTTTGCACTCCCACCAGCAGTGCAGGAGAGTTCCTTTTTCTCCACAACCTCACCAACCCAAATGCCCAAATATAGATGACTGGATCAAGAAGATGTGGTACATATACAGAATGGAATATTACTCAGCAATCAAAAAAGATAAACACATGCAGTTTGCAGCAACATGGATGGAGCTAGAAGGGATCATGCTCAGTGAAATAAGTCAGAAAGAAAAAGAAAAATACCGAATGGTCTCACTCATAGCAGGAATTTAGAAAACATAAATAAGAGATCAGGAAAAAGACTAATCAATACAAAGTAAAAATCAAAATCAACAATCAACTATAAAGCAGAGACACACTACTGGGGGGAGAAAGGGGGAAAGGAAGGACTAGAGTCAAAATAAGGGGGGGATGCAAGTGTATGGGGAATATAACCAAAATGAAAATGCATACATTGTACAAAGATGAAAAAAGATGTAAGAATTATATAAAATAAAATATTTAAATAAAAAAAGAAAATATATGAACTATGCAAGTATAGGAACAAAGAAAAATAAAAATCAAATGGGTCAGTTTCGTGTATTATTGCAATTAAGACATTTCATTACTAAATGTACACACTAGGCTAGTCAATGACTCTAATCTCTATCTCACTCATAAATGCATGGCAGATAGTTTAGGAGAGAAGCAGAAAAGACATAGAGGAAAATGACATCAGAAGATTCTATACTGCACTGTAATAGGTAGCTAAATTTTCCTTACTACTTTAATCCTTTTTATCACTTTCCTGATAATGTTCATTATGAAGGAATCACCTGTTCACACAGCATTTTGTGGAGATTAACACACCTCTTTCACATATACAGACCACAGAATTTCCTCCCTGACTCTGTTTCTCATATTTCTTCTTCAACTTTAATAAACTAAGTCGTGTGGTTAAACTATTAAATTTTTGGTGGGGTGAGATAAAATGGTTTATATTCTGTAATCTAAGTGTTATAAGCCATTTTAGGAATCTGTTTTTGAGTGTTCATAGAGTTGTACATTTTTCAATCACCATTGCTTCCTTCAGGCACTTAATTGAAGGATGTGAAGCAGTTGTAGAAACCAAAGAATTAAATGGTATGAAAGCATCTTTCTCAAACACTTTGAGAAGGAAAGGAAAGAAAAAACCTGGTACAAATAACCATATAGCTTCACCCTTGACAGTTTTCCTTTAGATCATTTGTTAAAAGGAAATTATAAAATTTTCATGGGCACTGCAGAGCCAAGCCTTGGTGCACAAGTGGAAAAGAACAGGAATTATTATTAACTGACTCACCATCAAGGGCTAATCTTTACCTTCATGTTTACATTAAGATGATTATTAGTCATCTGAGTTGCCATTGCCTTAAACTGTACCATAGGATGTGCCTTCGCTGTGGCTTCAATGCTCATATCCAAGGTCATGAAATCACAAGCTTTACTCTGTGTCTGCAGTCTCCATGTGGAGCAGTGAGCACAATTACAGAACATTTGTGCAGCCAGCTTGGCTCAAACCTCTCTCTCTCTCTCCCTCTCATTTTTACATTAAACAAAGTCTCTGATCTGCTAGATCATTTTACTTAACCAATATGCCTGAATACCTGCCTTGAAATTTTTATGGTGATTATTTAAAATTGAAAATATCATTAAAAGTCATTCTACTGTGGAATTTCTTTGCACAAAGTGAATTACAGAGCGGCAGAGATGTATAAATTGAGTAAAGAATTCAAGTCCTTTGGAAGCATGCATGCTTTTCTGGCAAGGAGGCAAATGTGAGTTTTAAGCAGCAATCCTGTCTGTGTCCTTCCTAAAGTCACCTGAACAATTCCTTTTCATTTGTCATGGCATCTTTAGCAAAGAACTGCCTGCTGTCAGAAGTGTGGAGGATGATGCCCTACAAGAACCACAGAAATGTCAGCCACCAGGGAAGATTTTCAGAAGGCCAGTGAGGATTTGTCCAAAATCTCATCATAAAACCACAGGTTCCAGACAATTTGGTTCCATCTCATACCAAAATGCCACCCTCTATTTTATCCATTATCATTTAGTATTGAATAAACAGATCAAGATTTTTTTTTCAATACAAAGCCACTTACATCAGTAAAATAATAAACATTGTCATAATCTCTCAGAGTACTTTGTAAGACCCCTGTATGTTAGATGGGATATACTAGTATTATATCCAAAATTATATCCTTGCAAAATTAAAGTCCTCCAAATGTAGTTCCTGGTGCTTATTGAACTCTTTTAACATTTTAAAGCAGATTATCATCTTTGGATTTCAGAACTGTCAACCACTTTGCAGGGTTTTTCTGCTCTAATAAGGGATAAGTAAAAGAAAATTTTACAATATCTGTCTTTAAAGTTAATGTGAAAAAGTACAAGTTTGCAATTCAATGTCTCAAGTAAGATATAGCAATGTCTTGACTGGGTTATATTATTTGAATTATTTGCTATTAATGTTCTGAAAGAATATTGTTTTAGATATATAAAACACATTATTTAAATAAATTATTTATAAAAGTGCTTATATATAAATATAATGGCAACACACACTCACAAAAAGCACAAAATAAAGTGCATAAATGATATAGTATTTTAAGTTTACCTTAGAAAAATTTTGAACAAAATATTTTGTATACTTATGTAATGACATCTCTATGTAATGATTTCATTCATCTAAAACATACCAATTGCTGGATTAATGCATTGATATTTGGGTCCAATCAGGAAAAACTTAAGCAGAGTAATAAACAATCTAAGCTGATTTTAGAAATCTTCAAGTTTTTTTCTCTGCAAAAATTTCCATTCTAATGTAGAAATTTCTCATTAGTCAATCTTTAAAAAGCATACTACATGGTCACAATAATAATATTTCACACTAGCTTTACTTTAAAAAAAAGAGTATCATGGGCCTCCCCTGGTGGTGCAGCAGTTGAGCGATGGGCTGCGAGGCTGCCTGCAGCCTCTGCAAGGCCAGTTTGTTTCCCGGCCGCCGGTGAGGGTGCCACAAAAAAAAAATAGTATCATTTTGAGAAACACAAATATATATTTGGCAGGAATGCATAGACGTCAATGACAATATCTCTCAATTCACCTTCATGTGGGGTGTGCCTAAGTGACATGTGAGGGTGACGCTGTACCTTATTTAGGAAGAGTCTTAACACACTACCAATGACTCAGGCAAATCAGATGGCAAATTACCTTTGAGAGGTCCCCCGCCTCCAAATAGAAGCAGATAACAAACACATTCCACGTAACCCAGAGGACTAGCCAGACAGCATACTGTAGAGAAGCAAAAGAAAAATAACGAATAATTAATTTTGAATCAGTTGAAAAAGAATAAAACAGGACTTAAACTTTTGAAAACCCAAATCTTAAGACTAGTGGGATCTCTTAGCCATTGCTTCTTTCTAAGGAGGAGATGTACATTCATCTTCCTGATGTTCCTCACTATTGTGCATGCACTCTTGGTACTACAGTTCGAACCAGCTGAATAATAAATTTTAAATTTCAGACAAAAGAAGTAGTAGGTCATGTTTCTGTTTTAAGGGGGAATTATTATAGTGTTTGGACCTCTGAAAAGATTCAGCCCCTATGGAAAACAGTATGGCAGCTTCTCAAATTAAAAAACAGATCTGTCATGTGATCCAACAAATCCACACGTAGGTATCTAACCAAAGAATACAAAAACATAATTTAAAGGGATGCATTCTTGTGTTTCTTGTAGCACTATTTTGAATAGTCAAGTTATGGAAACAATCGGCATCTAACGAAAAATGTGTGGATTGAAAAGTTGTGTGTTTGTGTGTGTAAGTGTGTGTGTATGAGTGTACGCACACACATGTTATACTACTCAGCTATAAAAAATATGAAATCTTGCCATTGTAATAGCAAATGGAGTTGAAGGGGATTATGTTATGTGAAATAGAGACACCTACCACATGATTTCATTCACATTTGAAATATAAAGAAAAAATGAACAGATACCACTGAAGCAAAGCAAACCCTAGAAATCATACCACAGAACTGAGCTACTGCTTAGGGGGAGTCGGAGAGTAGGAACTGAATGGGGGGAGACTGGGGACTGAGAGTGGGGACTGAGGATTGAATGGACTATGGTGAAAGACTGTGGCTGTTTTAATGGTGGATATGCTGTGATAACATACATATGAAGATGTGTGAATCTATATCTCTACATTCTATACGATAATGTAAATCAGTGCTACTTCAATAAAAACTTAAATATAATCATTTTCTTTCAATTAAAAATTGCATGTATGTAAAATAAAATGAAAAAATAAAAAAAATTGGATGTGCCAAAAGACATATCAAAGACAACCATTAAAAAGAGAATTCATATCTGTCTTTAGCAAAATTAACCACATTTGCTAACAATCTCTAATGTATTTAGAATCATCTTTAAAACAATACTCATGTCTCTATCCATTGTATCACTTCATTTTATTTTATTATTTTATTGTCGAAAAATCTCCCATTATAGTGACCATCTAGTTATAATCCCTAATTTTATTCTGTTGTATAATCAGTGTGCCTTCTTCACTGATGATGAATTTTTCATAACAAGACAGTTCTGATCATTTAGTCAACTAAAATCTACTAAGCACTTAAAAGATAGGATATAGAAAGATACTGCAGACACTGCAGACCAATAATATCCCTGAATTCAAGTGAGGGAGATATATTAGAAGTGATTATACGAAAGTCATTAAAAAGATATATAGTCTGAGCACAAGGAAGGAAAAATGGTAGATATGAATAACCTGTTTGGAGAAAGAGGACTGCAAAACTTAGCAGAAGATGAGAAACATCTTCCATAAAAGGTGAAGCAATCTAATTTAAGGACATTAACAAATAAGAGTTTTGGGGATTGGAAGAGTTAGGGTGGGAAATGCTGTAAACAAAGAAAACTGTATGCATGGATTTTTTAAAAGGGAAAAAGGATAGCATGTAATTTCTCTGCTAAATAAAAAACAATGTCTCCCCTTTTTTTAATGGTGAGATCCAAATTCTTTAGTTTACAATTCAATGACCTCCATGGTCTTGTAATTTGTTATCTGAAACACATTTCAATTCATTTCCTAAGTCATCATGGATTCCACACAAATCAAATTAACAAGGTATTCTATCTTTAATAAAAACTTTTTCCTACATCTATGTTATTTTGTATGCTACTCTTTTATTCTTTAATATTTTTCATTCCCTTAGATACTACTCATACCAACTATCAATATTTTATTCTTCTTCAAAGATCAATTTAAATATTATCTCCTTAGTAATATTAAATTGGAATCAGCTTAGCACTATACTGTGCTCCAATAAGATTTTACATGTCCTAATTTCATTCTCTAGGTCTTATATCTACTTAATGGAATACTTCTTCCAAATGCACAATAAGTTTCTTGAGGAAAGGGATTATTTTTTAAAATTGCTTCATTAAAACAATATTATTTCTGATTTTACCACACTACATAATGATAAAGCATTTACTATATCACATTTTATGTGTAGCTTTTTTCACAACGGTTATTAGTAATAATTTTGATCTTTTTTTTTTTATCCCTTTTCTCCCAGAGTAATCCAGAAGGAATATAATAGACATTCCTTCCACATATTTGCATTAATTTCATCTCAGAGTTTACCTTATTACAAAACACTTAGTCCACAATGCATCGAACTTTAGCAAAGATTTACGAAAGAGAATTATCACATTGTGTAGTGTGGCACCTTTATTAAACACATAAGTCCATCCTAATACAGAAGATAATCCTTAGTTTGCATCATTACCTTAAGAGAGGGACTTATGTAATTTAACTTTATCTCAATTAAATTTACTCGTTAACTTCTTATTATTTAATTTTCTTTTTAATATTTTTATGTTGTATTATCTTTTATTGAGGCAATGTTCATTTGCAACCCTGATTGGGGGCAACACAATATGATAGGGAGTACAAGTTCACCCCTCTTCATATGCATGTTACCACACCACACCTACCACCAAAACAGTCATTGTCTTTTCTTTCTCATGTTTATTTTTATTCTTGCTTTTCTCATTTTAATAGTTGGCACTATCTAGGCCTAATTTACAGCTGGATTTTGCTGACTTGCCTAAATATTGATGAGATTTTCCATTCCTTTGTAATTTGACCTATGAAAATTTTTGTCAATAAGACTTGTCATTCACACTATTCTTGAAATTACCTGTCATAATTATTTAAGAGTATAATGACCCTTACTAACTTCTTCCCAGTTTTTATAGATAGTTGATGTGGTATAATTGACAATAGCTCAGTTTGAATATAATTGAACATGATGTACTGCCCAGGAGAGATCCTAACAGAATAACAAAGTATCACACTTGCCAGGTAGCACCAAACTTGTAGTGTTTGGAAATAAAACTATTTTTCTTCTGCTTAATTTTTACTTGGGGAAAATACAACATTTTATGTTATAGTTTTTAACTATGAGATATCTATAGTGATAGAAAAAACTATGAGATATCTATAGTGATAGAAAAATCACCATCTACGATGCAATTCATTTTTAAGCGTTGATTTCTACAGTTAGCACTAAGTGGACAATTTTAGGCATTGATTAAACTTGAGAATCCAGCTAAATGGTTAAAATTATCAGCTGAAAAAGACAAGTGTATCCTCATGGTTTCCCTGTTGTATTTGTGGCCTTAATGATAAAAGCAAATTAATTTTCTAGGATAAAAATTAGTTAAGGTTGTCAATCATAACAGGCCAAAATACTGGCCAGAAACAGAGACATGGGTTATTACATTTTATGGTTACAAATAATTAGAAAAGTAGAATCTCAAACTAAAAGACTGCTAAACATTTTATTAGAAAATAATGAATTATACCTTAACGACACTGCCAATGTTTACCCAACTCTCCCACCTACATTAAAGCTGTCTAAATTAACATCTATATATTTTTCAATTATGGAGTATATTTAACTTACACAAAGCATTTATATTTTAGCATCAGTTTGTCAGGTTTTCATGAAAAAGGCTATTATTTAAGGTAAATAAAAGTGTCACTAAAAAAAATATTGAAAAATAACTACACCCTTTTTCTAATCGTGTTTCACTTTGTCTTGAAATTTTTTTTGTAATTTATTTTCCTGTCTATTTTTTTTTTTTTAAGATCTATCTTGTCATGCATACAAGAGCTGGGGCACAGGCCATAGACACAGGGGGTGAAAGGATTCACCAGAGACAGAGCTGGGAACAGAACAGGCAGACTGACTGAAATACACTGCTGAGGGGAGCAGCAGGCGAGACAAGAGAAATCTGCTTCGCCATGTGGGTAGCTCCCTGGCTGACCAGGGATCAAACCCGTGCTTCAGAGGCTGCGGATAGCTTCATAGTGCAGTACTTAACCCTTGCGCCACCAGGGAGGCCCTGTCTTGAAATTTTTAAGATTTTATGTATAAGCATTCTTTTTCTTGGACACCAGAGAAGCATCTTCTTGAGACCTTATCTTTTCTCCCTCCCATCCTTCTGCAGAGACTATGTTTGTGTTTACCACAGATAAGCCTGCTTTATTAATAGTATGGCATATATGTGTGTATATGGAGAACATAAATAAATATTTATGAATGATCTAAATTAGTGACTTTCTCTTAAAAAGGACTAAAATTTAGAAAAGCATTATTAGATAATATTTACATAATCAGTAGAAGATGTAGGAGGCTAGTACAATTCAATGCAATCACTGGCAAAATGATTCCCTAAGTGCTCAATCCACAAAGAATCAAAACTAAGAAATGATTATGGTGAAGAATATGCTTCCCTTGTTGGCGGGTCCACGTGGTGGGCAACATATTTGTGAAGAGGTGTGATCCCCTGTCACTGAATCATATACAGTTTTGTAAGCCAAAAAAATAAATAAAAAGTATTAAAAAAATGAACTAGATAAAACAAAAATAAACTTTTAGTATAAGACCAAATGAATGACTAGTAGAAGGGAAGGGATTGGGTAAACTGGATAAAAGAGGTCCATTCTATGGTGGAGACAGTATTAGATCCTTAGTGGGGAACTTAATGTAGTATATACAGATGTTGCTCTATTATGATGCATATCTGAAACTTACATAATGTTATGAGCCAATGTTACATCAATAAAATATTCTAAAAAAATAATAAAAAATAAAAGGAGTTGGGACAGTGAATTAATTCATATTTATTGAGTGCTGGCTGGATGCAAGTATAAAAGATGCTATAGAGAAACATAGGATATGAGTCACACTCCCCT